GCTTGTGTAGTTTTACACCATCTCTGCAGGGCCACCACTGCTCTCAGAACAAACCTGTACTAGCCTGCTAGAGGATAAGAGACCACAAAGAGCAGAGCTGAGCTGTTCTAGCTGAGACCAGCCTCTAGGTACCCCACTGGCTAAATGTGGATGCTTGAGAGCTCAGACAAGTTAGCCAAGCCTGGCCCAGACACAGAATGGCACAGTGGACCCACAGACTTAATGGAAGTAATAAAGGTTGTTATTTTATTTTATTTTTTTTGCTGTTTAAAAAAATTTAACGTTTATTTTTGAGAGAGAAAGAGAGAGAGAGAGAGAGAAAGAGAGAGACAATGGCACAAGCAGGGGAGGGGCAGAGAGATAGAGGGATACACAGAATCCAAAGTAGACTCCAGGCTCTGAGCTCTCAGCAGAGAGCCTGACCCGGGGCTCAAACCAAAAGACTGCAAGATCATGCATGACCTGAGCCAAAGTTGGACATTTAACCGACTGAGCCACCCAGGCGCCCCTAAAGGTTGTTGTTTTAAAGCCACTAAGTCTTAGGATGGTTTGTCACTGAGAAATACTAGATGTACCAATATATTAAGTACAGATGGACAAAGACTGCTAGAATAGAAAACAAGAGGAGAAATATTTGTCATGGGTGTGGGTTAGCTCTTATACTAACAATAGGATACTGGACACAAGAGTTAAACATATGAAACAAGTGTATCCATCACAGAAAGTTTTTATGACCCCATTGTCAGAGGTGATTTCTCTATTAGGACATTTGCTAAACAAACACAAAGTAAAAAATTCAGAGAAGACATACAGAAATGCCACTATTCAACAAATCTCACTCAGTACTGAGATTAAATCCTCACCTGGAATCTTCATGTTACATTTGAACTCCTGGCCAAATTAATCAAAGCTTTGGAATTTTACTAGCAATTATTAATTATATTTAGAAACAGTAGTAATGTAAATATGTCATCTATGCTATTATATATGTTACACCATTGGTATGTTTCAGCATGATTTTTAAATAATATTGATTTCAAGTAAAGTACAATTGCCATTGCTTTCATAATATTGTTTTGGTAATACTTAAAAAAAAAATAAACAAGTAAGACTAGTAAATCTCAACCTTTGCTGTGTATTAGAATCACCTGAAGAGTTTTTTTTTTTTTTTTTAAATCCCAATGCTGAAGTGACACCCCAGAGCAAATACACTAGGATCATGGGACTGTGACCCAGACATCGAAAGTTTTTTCAGGTTTCTCAGGTGATTCCCATGTGGAGCCACGTTTGAGAACCAGTGACCTTAGTCCTAGATCCACACTGTCCAATATGATAGCCACTAGTTACATGTGGCTACTAATTATTTGAAATTTGACTAGTTTATTTATATATTTATTTTTTAATTTTTTTTTTCAACGTTTATTTATTTTTGGGACAGAGAGAGACAGAGCATGAACGGGGGAGGGGCAGAGAGAGAGGGAGACACAGAATCGGAAACAGGCTCCAGGCTCTGAGCCATCAGCCCAGAGCCTGACGCGGGGCTCGAACTCACGGACCGCGAGATCGTGACCTGGCTGAAGTCGGACGCTTAACCGACTGCGCCACCCAGGCGCCCCGAAATTTGACTAGTTTAAATAGAGGTGAGCTGTAAGTGGAAAATACACACCAGATTTTGAAGACATAGTATTAAAACAAATGTAAAATATGTCATAAACAATTTTTATAGTTATTACATGCTGAAATGATAATATTTTGAACGTGTGGATTAAGTAAAATATATTATTAAAGTTAATTTCACCTGTTCGGTTTTACTTTTTAAAATGCGACTACCAGGAAACTTAGTATTACATATGTATTTGCATTTGTGGCTTTTTTTCTTCTGTTAGCACTGACCTAGACTGTCCCACCAAACTAGACTATAAGGTATGGAAATAATTATTTTAATATTCATATGACTTTACAAAACCTTCCCTAATGAAGTATGGGTTTACATTCCACAAAACTGGATATAATGTTCTGTAGGAGTTTAATTTTTAAAGAAAAAAACCCTCTTTAACCCAATATTTCATTTATTACAGTGTTTTTATCATTGCTTATGCAAAATCACTTATATGCATTTCTTTTTTTTTTTTTTTTTTAATTTTTTTTTTTTCAACGTTTATTTATTTTTGGGACAGAGAGAGACAGAGCATGAACGGGGGAGGGGCAGAGAGAGAGGGAGACACAGAATCGGAAACAGGCTCCAGGCTCCGAGCCATCAGCCCAGAGCCCGACGCGGGGCTCGAACTCACGGACCGCGAGATCGTGACCTGGCTGAAGTCGGACGCTTAACCGACTGCGCCACCCAGGCGCCCCTATATGCATTTCATTTTTACGATTATACTCAATTTTATATTAAATTTTTTTATGTTTTATTTATTTTTGAGAGAGAAAGAGAGACAGTGTGAGCAGGGGAGATACAGAGAGAGAGGGAGACACAGAATCCGAAGCAGGCTGCAGGCTCTGACCTGTCAGCACACAGCCCGATGTGGGGCTTGAACCCACAAACCGCGAGATCATGACCTAAGACAAACTCAGACGCGTAACCAACTAAGCCACCCAGGTGCCCCTCAATTTAATATTTTAAAGGGCATGCTGATGTAAAGTTTATTTAATATTCAAAAATAAACGTATAATTAAAATGTGCAAAAGTCAGCATATTGAAAAGTGTCAATTGATCACATTTTATCAGTGGCATAAAATATTAAAGAGGGAGGTAAAGCCTGTAAAGAATAACCAATATTGTGCCACATTATTGAATTCTGATTTCTCATGATCGAATATGCTTATAGGAAGAAACATTTATACTGCCATTCTCTCTACTGGGTGATCGACATTCTACTTGTGATACTGATCAAAATTGAATTCATTTGAATAGCGTTACTAAAAAATCGCATGGTGAGTGCTACATATGAATAGCACAGAGCTCATTGTGTTTTAAGTCTAATTTTAAACCATTTAATGCTAGCACACTGGTTAAATTTATAAGGCAACATTCCAGGGTTTGTAATTAAAAAAAAAAAAAATCTAGCCCAGGATGTATTTTAACTTATTTCACATCTCCTATTATCATCATTATTATTCATCAGATGATAATTAACATCATGGCTGGAGGCCATTCCTTTCGATTTTATTAAAACTCTTCCTTTTCTAGTATAGGGTTTTCTTTAATCCCAGATTAATTTATTTCGCATTCACCGTGGCAAAGCTCCTGAAATGAATATATTCACAAACTCTCAAAATAAAATATCCTGAGTATTTAAATTTTTCTTTTTTAACATTTATTCATTTCTGAGAGGCACAGCATGAGCAGGGGAGAGGCAGAGAGGGAGGGAGACACAGAATCTGTAACAGGCTCCAGGCTCCAGCTGTCAGCACAGAGCCCGACGTGAGGCTCGAACCCACGAGCCACCCAGGCACCCCATCCTCAGTATTTAATGATTACTAAAATGCTAGGTAGTTTCCCCAGAATCATTACATTTTGTAAATCCTGGAGTTAGTTTACTCTCACCCATGGTGGAATATTTCATTTATAGCCAAAAGGAAAAAGGAGGTCACGTTATGACAGGACTGTTATCGGACAAACAGTAGGGTCATCTTTGTCAACCTGTGTAATAGTTTCCAACTCAATCATTCCTTATCTTTTTATGAACCCAAACCCCACCTTTTGTTATTTTCATTTTAGGTTGTTTTTGTTTTTGTTTTTCCTCATAAATCTCCATTAGGTCAGGAAAAATTTATGTTTTTTTTTTTAACTCCAAAGTTAAATTCTCACTTAAATTCTCCTTTAAACAAAATAACAGCCACAACAATATAGAGAAAACAAAGAGAACAGGAGCTCTCACAACCTGAATGAGTGATGTCTCTTCAACCCTACCACCTCTGACAGCTCAGAAGCAAGTGAGGCAGTGGAATGTGGAATGTTATTTTATTTGATATTTATCAACTTTGCTCAAAACAGTTTTAAAAGATGCTTGCTGCTGTGCCCCTCTGGCTTGTGCCACAGGAAACAGCACAAAGCTGGGGGCCACAACGGAGGCAGGTTTAGGAGAGAGAGCCCCCAGCATCAATCTCTTGAACAAGGTAAGATTGATCCATTCATTTATGTTCCTCCTAAAGAATTTGCCACATTCTGCCTTTTAGTTATGATTATTCATTTTTTTCTAGGCTGTTTGATAAATTCCCTGAGGGCAGAGATGTTGCCTAGTACATAATAAGTGGCAATATTTGTAGATTAAATGGGATATTTTATCCATTTTTGCAAGCTTGCAATAGCTATGGGCCTGCCCCAAAAGGAATTCAATAATACACTCAATACTGTATCATGCAGTACTCTGGGACTGGGAATTATTTCAAAAGTAAACTTTTCTTAGATTTCTCCTTCCAAAGTAGCAAGTAGAGTGAATTGAACTGACACTTAAATTGGAATAAAATATTCACATGTGAATTCATATCTCTGCTTTGCATGTCCAGTGTTTTAAAAGTATAACTAAAGTCTATCTTAATAGCTCATTTGGCATTTACTTGCAAATAATTAAAATATTCATATGTATCACTTTTTTAGCAGGTCAGAGTTAGGAAGACCAAAATGTTCTGTCATCTCTAAAGTCCGTTTATTAAATTTAAAATTATTACTCAGTGAACTTAGGAAATGCTATCACAGTGCCAATATCTACCTTTTCTCCTCTTTTGGTTTTGCCTCTGCTATTCATTCATAAGTAATTCAGACCCTAATATATGCTGCATGCTTTACCTACTTTCATTTAATTTTTCATAACCTCACAAATTAAAGATTATAATCTCTTTTTTTCAGATTCAGATGGTAATTAACTTACGTAATCTTCAGAGACTTGCAAGGGATATTAGTCAGGTTTCTGCAGAAAAACAGAACCAACATGGCTGTCTATCTATCTACCTGCCTACCTACCTATCAAAAGAGAGAGAGAGAGACTTATACTCACATGATTGTGGAGGTTGGCAAGTCCAAAATCTGGAGGGTGGGCTGGCAGACGGGACACCCAAGGGAAAGACTGCAGCTCACATTCACAGGCACTCTGCTGGCAGAATTCCTTCTTATTCAGGGGATGTCTGTCTTTTTCTACTAGGTCCTTCAACTGATTGTATGAGCCCTACCCACATCATGGAGAGCAATCTACTTCACTTGAAGTCCACTGATTTAAATGTTAATCTTACCTTGAAAAAATACCTGTTCACAGAAACATCTAGAATATGCTTGACCGAATATCTGAGTACTGTGGCAGAGCCCACATAACACATTAAAATTAATGTGTCCCATTATTCCATTTAATTCCATATCCATCATAATTCCATTTTACAGATGAGCACAGTAAGACTCAGAGACACTAGTAATTTGCACAGTATCAGCAGTTTATTATGAAACATTTGGGCTTTAGAAAAAGGGGTTTTTGTTTTCCAAAGCCTATATATATACATATATATATACACACACACACACATATATACACATACATATATACACATATATGTATACATATATACATATATGCATACATGTGTGTACACACACACACACACACACACACGTTTTTCAACTGAGTAGAACTGTTTTTCCAGGACTCATCTCATGTTAAAAGAAACATTTAGTAACTGTGGCTGTATATCTTAGAGGTCTAATTTATCCACTAATAAATACCTACCAAAGATGATGATCTAATTGAATGAAGTAGGTGTCTGTCATTATAAACAGCTCCGTATGCCCGAAAAGGCAGTGACAAAAGCTAGGGAATCTTGTTCTTCACAATCTCTGAAAACTTTTCCGTGCTTTCCATTCCTGGTGCCAACACTAGAATTTAGGACACTACCACTTCGTACCAGAATATATGCTACATTGTAGGTCTCCAGTCTTTATATATTTAAGTTAATCAGACCACCGCCTCCCCTCTCCCCCCATCCTTAACATTTTTTAAGTACTCACGAAAAAAAGCAAAATTTTGAGGTTAAGCGTTAAAAATGATTTCCAGAGGAGCTTCAACTACTCTTCCACCCATCGTTTCGGCTCTATGAATGATACATTCAGGTTTTAACCCCCAACAGGGTGTGCAGGGTGTGTGTGTGTGTGTGTGTGTGTGTATGTACATATACACGTATATATATATGTGTGTATACACATATATGTATACACATGTATACACACATATATAATTTTTTTCCACTTATTCCTTTGTATTCATTCACCTTTCTCTCCAGGTGAACTTCTGACTCCAGCTCTTATTCTTTCAGGCTTCTCAGTGAAGTTTTATCATCACCCCGATCCAGCAGCAACTCTCCTTCCCCAAACTGCCGAAGAGTGTAGTGCACTCGCCTTATCTGTTCAAAGAGAACGATGCAATCACTGCAGGAAAAGCAATCTCAAGCCAATGGTTCCCCCATTAATGGAGACCGCCCTGGTCCTGCACAAAGGGTCTCCCAAAGTAGGTGCTCAATAAATGTTTAACACATTAGATGAAGCCACCCGAGAAAAACACCTGCAGTCTGTGGGACAAGGGCGAATGCGCCTCACAGTGGGGAGGTCTCCTGGCCTTCTTCGCCTCTTCTCCCTTTCACTGGTCCAGGGTCACCAGTCTCCCAGAAACAGGACCCCAGGAAGGGACAGGCAGTGCGCATGCCCCTTATTTATCCAAGGCTGCCTCCAGGCGCGTGGCCAGCTTGGCCCCACCCCCTCCCGGCTCCCGGGCGCGCGCGCGCGGCCCCGCGGAGCGTGCCCTGCGTGCGGGTGCCCGCCAAGCCCGCCGGGCGCTGGATCCCCGAGTGCCCGGGCCGGGGCCTGAGGAGTGGGCACCGGGCCGGGGTGGCGAGCGGCGAGCAGCAAGCACCGCAGGCGGCGGCGACGCCAGAGGTGACGAAGAGCGCGGACGGTGAGTGAGGGCGCCGCGGGTGAGCGGGCGGGCGCCTCCGCGCGTGCGCAGCACCGGACCGCCTGGCCAGGGGCGCGCTCCCGGCCCCGGGCCGAAGGGGCCGTGCGCGGCTGGGCTGGGACGGGTCCGCCGGTCGGCGTCGGGCTCCGGGATGCGGGGTGCCCGGATACCCCGCCTTCGCTCGGGAAACGCTGGCCGCGCGTGAAGCCTTCCCGAGGGGTTCCAGGCGGGATGGTGCCGGGCCCGAGAAGAGGTCCTGGCGCTGTGGCCCGAGGGGCTGGGCCAGCTGCAGCCGAGGGACGCGGGGGTTGGGGGGGCGAAGCGAGCCCACCCGGGCACCAGCCGGTCACACGGGCGCCCGCAGTGTGCGCGACCCGCGGAGGTGGCGGAGGTCCAGGGAGGGGGCGCGGCCGGAGAGCTTTGGCGCCGAGCAGGTGGCGGGGGCCGCGCCCCTGGCCCGGGGAAGCGCCTGCTTGGAAACGCGAACAAACTTCCCTGAGTAACTTTATTGAGGCGCTGCCAGCGGGGCCCGGATTGGGGGCTTCAGAGACCCACACCCCGTCCTTGCCCAGCCCTGGTCGCCGCAGAACCCCAGCGAATGATGGTGGGCTACTGGGGGTCTGATTTTCTTCTGGTGCTGGAGCTCGTACTCCCAAGTTGTGAGCGTCATTCATGGCCCATTCGCTCTTAAAATAGGTGTATAAGTTTGGTGTTTCGGTAAGAACGGTGTTTGCTGTCCTGGGAAGAAAAAGATTATGCTGCCTAGTCTTTTTTATCTCAAAGAAAGTATTGTTAGAGCATTCTGGGGATTCCTATTTATCAAGAAACCTATTGTCCTGTGTGTGCTTGGGGAAAGCCAGTAATTCTATTATTAGCCTTAAAAAGACAAAGGGAGATAATTGTGCTTTCTTTTTCTTTTTTTCCCCTCTTTTAAAAATACTCTTTACCACCTCACCAAATCACGGAGTACAGTAGTTCCCAAAATTGGCTGAAGAAGAGAACCACTGGAGAGTTTTAAAACTATGCTCAAGTAGCACACCCAAGACCAATTAAAACAACGTATATTTTAAAGGTCCCTAGGTGATTCCAATGTGCAAGCATAGTTTGGGAACCGGTGGTTTAATATAAGAAAGTCAAGATTTCAATTTTACGAAGTAGCATTCAGTTTGTAATGGAGGGGATAAAAGTCTAGCTTCATTTTCCAAACACAGGAATCGACAAAGGGTGGTTTGTTTGCCACCGGGGAGGGAGGGAAGTGTCTCTAATGGTTCAAACTTAAACTTAACTATAATGTGACTGTAGCGTCCAGGACATTGTTCTAACTGATGTTTTGAGTTTCCTTTGGGGCTCCTCAGCCCTCCTTCTCTGACCCTGTCATACCCAAGGGGTTTCATTGTCTTTTAACCTCTCAACCCCCCCTCCCCCCATCTTTACCCTTTCTTCGTTCCCTTTTTTTTTAACCATCCTCCAATCCCTGGGAGGATCCCCCTCCCCCGGACTGTTCTGGCTCTGAAGGGTTACTGCGGGTTCCTATAGCAACGAGTCCTCCAGGGGAAGTGGGCGGGTCCTCCTACCTTTGGGTTTCAGACTAGGACTCTTCCTTTTCTGAAGAATTTGAATCACTCTTTCAGTTCTTGGCCTCAGTGCAGGTAAGGGTGAGCTCATACAGTTCCAGTTTTTCTTTCTAAGTAATTACATAACTATTAATGCTGTTGCTTGGCATTAATACTGCTAGCAGCTACGAGGAATATTCATTTTTCCCTGTTTTTGCGCTGAGAACTTGTTTAAGAAAGTTCCAAAATGAGGTGGAAACGATGTTTTCTGAAACAGTTTTTTCCTTTGGGGCACACAGACCTAAGAATTGCATACATCATTTCTCCAAAGTCCTAAGACATCTTACATTTAAGAAATTTTAAAAGTGAAATATAATCCTACAGTCATGCAAAAAATCTCTGGTAATTTGTGGCAAAAAAAAAAAAAAAGTCATTATCAGCCTTTAAACAGTTTGGTTCCTAGAAAGTGTTTTGCCTAGATTCTTTACATAAATTAAACCAATTGTAGTGTTATACTTTAACAAAGGAAAGACACAGTTTGTCTACAAATTTGCCCACTGTTTTCCCTTCCCCAACACAGAAGACACATCCAAACAGATAATTTTATGCTCAAAACAGGTATCCTATAGCCATCGAATTCCAGTTTGCCTTTCAAGGAACTGTTAAAACAGTTCTGAACAAAAAAGTACGGAAATATCATTTACATGTCTTAGGCTTTTTGCTTTTTGAAACCTTTCAAACTTTACTGTGTAAATATCAGAATTCAATCCCATCAATTCCAAAATGCTTTTAGTAGGCCAGTGATTCTGAGCATGCGTTGAGAGTTGAAGAGGTTTTCTCTTGCAACTATCCCCTGTTCTATGTGGTAATTAAACTGTTAACTGGACTATCAAGCAGATTCTGAAAGGCTGATTTTTCCCATTTTACTCTGAGAAAATAATGATAGAAATCTCTCTTATTTGACGGACCTTGTAGTTCAACAGTAATGCTCTGCTAAGATAGTAACTTCTCACCTAATCTTTCCTTTTTGCATCACATGCTTCAAAATTGAGGGCTTCTAAGCAACTCCCATTTGAGAGGATCTATTGTTTCTATGGCTTTTAAACATTTTAAAATAAATTATTCTTGCTGTAGACATTTAGGGAATTAAAAAAAAAAAAAAACAAAGAAAATAAAACTCAGAATCACATCATCCAGAAATAGAACTGTTCATGTGATGGTATGTTTCCATTTGTCCCTTTTTCTTTGTCTGCATATTAAAAAAAAAAAAGGCATTTCAGTTTCATCTGTAGTTTTTTTTTTTTTTAATTTTTAATTTTTTATTTTTTTTTTCAACGTTTATTTATTTTTGGGACAGAGAGAGACAGAGCATGAACGGGCGAGGGGCAGAGAGAGAGGGAGACACAGAATTGGAAACAGGCTCCATCCAGGCTCTGAGCCATCAGCCCAGAGCCCGACGCGGGGCTCGTACTCACGGACCGTGAGATCGTGACCTGGCTGAAGTCGGACGCTTAACCGACTGCGCCAGCCAGGCGCCCCTCATCTGTAGTTTTAAATATGACCTTTTCACTTAACCTTTTCTGTGCCTTTAAATCTTTGAACATAAGTTTTAAAAATATTTTTTTGTTTACTTATTTTGGAGAGAGAGGGCACCAGTGGGGGAGGGGCAGAGAGAGAGGGGGTCAGAGTATTGGAAGCTCTGCCCTGATAGCAGTGAGCCCTGTGCGGGGCTCAAACTCAGGAACCACGACATGATGACCTGATCCAAAGTCGAATGCTCAATCAACCGAGCCACCCAGGTGCCCCTGAACGTAAGATTTTCTAATGATGGATATGCCAAAGTTTATTTCATGAGTTTTCTGT